GATCTCTTGACCTCGTGATCCACCCGCCTCGGCCTCCCAAAGTGCTGGGATTACAGGCTTGAGCCACCGCGCCCGGCCTTATAATTTAAAATTTAAAATGTTCATTAAAAAAGTAATAGGCCAGGTGTTTGAGACCAGCCTGGGCAATGTAGGAAGCCCTCATCTATACAACAGCAACAGCAACAAAAAAATTGAAAAAAGGCCGGGTGTAGTGGCTCACACCTGTAATTCCAGCACTTTGAGAGGCTGAAGCAAGTGGATCAGTGGAGGTCAGGAGTTCGAGAGCAGCCTGACCAACATGGTGAAACCCCCTTTACTCAAAATACAAATATTAGCTGGGCATGGTGGTGGACTCCTGAAAAATTTCAGAGTTGATTGTGAATGTATCTTAACAGCGCATTTTGGCTTATGATTAGATCCTGTATTTGTTTTTCTTTTTTGGAGATGGAGTCTTGCTCTGTTGCCCAAATTAGAGTGCAGTGGCATGATCCCGGCTCACTGCAACCTCTGCCTCCCAGGTTCAAGTGATTCTCTTGCCTCAGCCTTCCATGTAGCTGGGATTATAGATGCCTGCCATCACACCCACCTGATTTTTGTATTTTTTTAGTAAAGATGAGGTTTCGCCCTCTTAGACAGGTTGGTTTCAAACTCCTGACCTTGTGATCCACCCACCTCCGCCTCCCAAAGTGCTGGTGTGAGCCACTGTACCCAGCCTAGATCCCATATTTTATAGCAGCAACAACGAATTTATCTTGGTTCAAGATAAATAGTAGCCTTTATGGAGTGCCTACTATGTGCCAGAATAGTTTTCTGGATACATAGAAAGTTCTTTTTCTATTTTCTTCATGAATAATACATTATATTGTCAACAGTTTTAGACACTGCCTAGTTTTGGGTAGTGACTTTTTTTTTTTTTTTTTTTTTTTTTGAGACAGAGTTTCACTCTTACTGCCCAGGCTGGAGTGCAATGGCTTGATCTTGGCTCACTGCAAACTCTGCCTCCCAGGTTCAAGTGATTCTTCTGCCTCAGCCTCCCAAGGAGCTGGGATTAGAGGCGCCCCCCCACCATGCCCAGATAATTTTTATATTTTTAGTAGAGATGGGGTTTCACTATGTTGGCCAGGCTGGACTCGAACTCCTGACCTCAGGTGATCCACCTACCTTGGCCTCGCAAAGTGCTGGGATTACAGGTGTAAGCCACTGCGCCTGGCCGGGGTAGTGATTTCTAAGTGCATAGATCTTCTAGCGTCATTGACAAAGGTGACATTTGCAAGGCTTTTCCTTCATCAGGCGCAGGGATCAGGGCTTCCTGTGTGTCGTTTTTTCTAGTCCTTTCATTGCTACTGTGAATCAGGTGCTGTAATTCTTATTTTTCAGAAGGGAAAGCCAAGGTACAGAGGGGTGAAGATACTTGCTCTCAGTCACACAATGTGTAAGCCACCAAGCTGGGACCCACTTCCCAGGGCGTTAGCGTCGCAGTCTGTGTACCTGTCTGCTGAGGGCTGGCGGGCTCTGTGGGGGTGCTGCGTGGCTTCCGTATCCCCTGGAGTCCCACCTGTGTTCTGGCTGATTGGGGTGTTCTCTCTCCATTAGCATGGCCATGAAGAAGGCTCATCCGTGTGGTGGAAGCTGGGCCAGAGGCTGGGAGGCGAGGAAACTGTGGTAAGGAGAGTACATCTTTTCATAGTTTTGCGGTCCTGTCCCAGCAAAGACAGACTTTCACTCACATTCCTTGCTTTCCTGCCGGCATTTTATGGTTGATTATTGTCCCTTTTAGATAGCAGAACATGAGTATGAAGGGACTGGTGAGATTTTAATATGAAATTCGTACTTGAACTTGTTGGAAGTCCTTGGTCGTGTTGAAAGCAGTCTTGGTTGTGGGGGTCAAGGAGTGTAACTGGGTTGTGTGCACACCATCAGGTACCATAGCCTCTTCCTGGAAGAGGAGAAGATTTTGCAAAGAGATTGGAGGGAAGTGGTTTAGGGTAAATGAACAGACACCCTTCTCATTGTTGCTCTGTGTGTAAGTTGAAGAAAGTGGGGAGATTTGAAGGCAGCTAATCAAGAAATCACAAAAGTCATGATCCAAGCCATGGTTGGTGAGAATTATACAACGTTACAAGTAATTTGCAGAATGTATATGCAAAATCGGGGAGATCAAGGAAATACAAGTGTCCTCATATAAGGGGAAAATTGAGGACGGGGCCTCTGTAGAACGTAGTGCAGAGCTTGTTGGGATAGCACATGGGGCTCTCCTCAGGGCAGGTGAACTCTGGGTGATGGGACTTTCTTGTTCCTTCCCAGAGGTCTGTCCCCCAGTGTGGTTCTAGCTTTGTACAGAAGTGACGCTGTCTGCTCCACACCCCACTGTCTTCTCACCTGGCTGAGTGCCTGGCACACACTAGGTGTGTTTTTAAGTGTTTGCAGAGTGGATGAATTGTAGTTTCAGAATCCTGGCCAGACATAGGACATGATTCAGAGCCACTGTGTCTACTGAGTTGAACAAGAATAAGAAATGTAATGCTATTAGTTTTTGTTTAAGATTCCTGTTTTTGTTGTTCTTATCAATCAGCAGGTGTTGTATTTATTGGTACAATAAATGTAGTATATATTATTTAATGTACAATGACTATAAGACAGTGTGCCAAGAGGACCTTATTTTTTATAAGACTTTATTATTTTTTATTTATTTTGAGACAGGGTCTTACTCAGTTGCCCAGGCTGGAGTGCAGTGGTCTGATCATAGCTCAATACAGCCTCAAACACTTGGGCTCAAGCAATTCTCCTGCCTTAGCCCTCTGGGTAGCTGGGACCGTAGGCATGAAACGCTGCTCCTGGCTAAGACTATCCCACTTCCCAAATAGTGTGTCTTTGCCTCCCATCCCTTGTATGCTTGCTGTCATTCATTTTACTTATGTATAAGCAGACATAAGCATATCATCCCTTGGTGTTTGCCCAGGATTGGTTCCTGGGTCCCCTGTGGATACTAAAATCTGCAAGTGCTTGAATTCCTTAAATAAAATGGCATAGGATTTGTGTATAACCTGTGCATGTTCTCCCATGTACTGTAAGTCATCTCTAGATTGTTTATAATACCTCATACAATGTAAATGCTATGTAAATTGTTGTTATACTGTATTTAAAATTTGTATTTTTTTTATTGTTACTGTTATTTTTATTTTTCCAAATATTTTTGCTCTGTGGTTGGTTGAATCTGTGGATGTGGAACCCAGAGATAAGGAAGGCTAATTATACATACACATACACAAACACACACAGATAAATAGCTAAGCATACATAATTGAATAAATTTTTATTGCTATTATTTTGAACAAACTGTTATCTGTTAGGTCAATTAAAAAGAAAAGTAAGAGTTATTTCCCTCTACTTATTTCTTCTTCCATTCTCTTCGTTTCTTTATGTAGACCCAAGTTTCTGACCTGTATTATTTTCCTTCTAACATGGTTTGGCTCTGTCCCTGCCCAAATCTCAACTTGATTTGTATCTCCCAGAATTCCCACATGTTGTAGGAGGGACCCAGGAGGAGGTAATGGAATCATGGGAGCCAGTCTTTCTCATGCTATTCTTGTGACAGTAAGTCTCACAAGATCTGATGGGTTTATCAGGGGTTTCCGCTTTTGCCTCTACCTCGTTTTTCTCTTGCTGCTGCCATGTTAGGAAGTGCCATTTGCCTCCTGCCGTGATTCTGAGGCCTCCCCAGCCATGTGGAACTATAAGTCCAATTAAGCATCTTTTTTCTTCCCAGTCTTGAGTATGTCTTTATCAGCAGTGAGAGAATGGAATAACACACCTTCTTTCTGAAGAACTTCTTGATGTTGCTTGCAACAAATTCCCTCAATTTTTTGTTTGTCTGAAAATCTTTATTTCTCCTTCACTTTGGGAGGATAATTTTGTAGAGTATATGTGTAATTTTGGGCTGGTGAATATTTTTCTCTCAGCACTTCAAACATTTCTCTATGCTCTCTTTTTTTTGAGATGGAGATTTGCTCTTGTTGGCAAGCTGGGGTGTAATGACACGATCTCGGCTCACTGCAACCTCTGCCTCCCAGGTTCAAGTGGTTCTCCTGCTTCAGCCTCCCAAGTAGCTGGGATTACAGGCGAGCGTCACCACACCCAGCTAATTTTTGTATTTTTAGTAGAGACGGGGTTTCACCATGTTGATCAGGCTGATCCACCCACCTTGGCCTCCCAAAGTGCTGGGATTACAGGCAACTCCGCCTGGCCTGTAACTCTTATCTTTGTTCTTCAGTAGATAAGAGCATTTTCTACTACCCACCACAACCATCCAACTTCTTTAAGGATTTTTTCCTTATCTGTGATTTTCTGATTTTCTGTAGTTTGAATATGCCTAGGTGTAGGGTTTTTTTTTTTTAAGATGGGGTTTCACCATGATGGCCAGGCTGGTCTTGAACTCCTGACCTCAGGTGATCCACCCACCTCAGCCTCCCAAAGTGCTAGTTACAGGCATGAGCCACCGCACCCGGCCCCTAGGTGTAGATTTTTTGACATTTATCTTGGTTCTATGAGCTTCCTGAATGTGTGGTGTCTGACATCAACTTGGAGAAATTCTCAGTCATTATTATATCAAGTATTCTGTTTTTTTCCCCCCTCTTCCTGCTTTTTGTTTTTTGCTTTTCAGTTTTGGAGGTTTCTGTTGAGATGTCGTCAAGCACAGAGACTTTTTTCTTCAGCTACGTCCAGTTACCAATGAGCTCATCAAAGTTGTTCCTCATCTTTGTTTCCATTGTTGTTTTTGACCTCGAACTTTCCTTTCTGGTTCTTTCTTAGACAGCATGCTTGCATGCTGTCAACTTTATCTCTTAGAGCTCTTAGGATGTTACACATAGTTGTTTTAAGTTCCTATTCTAATAATTCCAACATCTTTGCCATGTTTGGAACTGGTGCTTGCTCTGTCTCTTCAAACGGTATTTTCTGCTTTTTAGTATGCCTTTTAATTTCTTCTTGATTGTGCAGTGGTGCGATCTTGGCTCACTGCAACCTCTGCCTCCCAGGCTCAAGCAGTCCTGTCACCTCAGCCTCCGGAGTAGCTGGGACCACAGATGCACACCACCACGACCAGCTAATTTTTTTGTATTTTTGGTAGAGGTGAGGTTTTGCCATGTTGCCCATGTTGATCTCCAACTCCTCAGTTCAAGTAATTTGCCTGCCTTGGCCTCCCAAAGTGTGTTTGTCTGTTTTTAACGTGTAGATAAGATGAGTACCATTCAGTGGGGAACACATTCATAGATAAGAAATGGATTGCTGCACATTTGAAATTATTTGTGTAACACTTAAAAAATTTTTAGCCACCAGAATTAGAGGTTTCTCAATGATGTTTACTCTTTTTGGTCCTACCTATAACTTAGCAAGGAATTTAACATTATATTAGTTTTATAAAAACTTAAGAGTTTAAAATTAGCAACATCAAATGAATCTCAGAAAACATACGTTTTCCCAACCTATTTGCAATATTCAAGTTTATGATTGAATTTTTTTGTTTCATGTTTGATTTTTACCTCTAGGAAATTGAACAGGAAGAAATTGATGCAGAAAATGGTGGAGCTGATGCATATACAGCCAGTTATGAAGATGATTTTGAAGTATGTATAAAAGTTAAAACTTTTCTTAGCTTAAAAATCATTTATTCTTAAAAATCATATATAATAATTTGATGCCTTTTTATTCTAATAATGTCTGACTAGGTTTGATTTAGGTTAAGCTGTTACCTATAAAATACTTGCTATACTTCTTCTAGTACTTACCAATATGATGTAATTAAATGATTTTATAATTTAACTCATATACACCGCATAAAAAGTTGTGTATGCAGGTATCTATAAAAATACATACACTTTCACATTCTCAGCACAGATGTTTGCACATTATGGTAGTTGATAGGTCTTCTGCATATGGTTCTGTATTGTGTGATTTATTTTTAGAGAAATAAAGGTACCAGTTTATAATAGATTTATCTTCAAAAACATTTTAACATCAGTGATATATCTTTGCTAGCTGTAATAAGGACATTGTCTATTTTAAATTATAAATTGTTGCTTTGTTCAGTGTGTTAATGTAAAGTCAGTTTGTCTTAAAGTGTTCCAAAACATTATTATTGTTTGCAGGACTACGAAGATGACTTTGAGGTTTGTGATGGCGATGACGATGAAAGCAGTAATGAACCTGAGTCAAGAGAAAAAATTGAAGAACTCCCTCTAGCTCGAAAAAAGGAAATACAGGAAATTCAAAGAGCTATTATTGCAGAAAATGAAAGGATTGGAGAGTTATCTTTGAAACTGTGTCAAAAGCAAGGTAGAATAGAATTTGAAAAGGAGCCAAGGACAGGTAAACAAATAAATGCTACTACTGGTGTCCATGCTGTTAGCACCCTGTGTACTGAGCCATCATAGATGCCTGTCATACACAGGACTGCTCTCAAGGTGGACAGAGAAGTAACATCTTCCACATGATGGCGGTGCCATGCCCTTGCAGCTACCACATAGGAGGCCCTCAGAAGACTTGAGCATGTGGACCTCAAGAGTTCTCTTACATAGAGAAGTTGCACATGACTTTCTTCTCGGCACCCAGGCCTTAGGTTAGCTGAGGGTGCCATGGCCCTACTTGGGGCAGTGATGCCCCTGTTCTCCAGAGGGTGGTGTGGATGCCGTGGCCCTTCTCAGGAGACAGTGATGCTCATCTGTCCTGAGGGAGCTGAGAGCACTGTGGCCCTTCTCAGGGGACAGTGATGCTCATCTGTCCTGAGGGAGC